TAAAATTCCTGGTTCAAGCATAACAAAAAGAAAAATGTTCTGACATGAGATGGAGCACCTTTAGACGGCTCTACAAACCTCGAGGAACCAAAGAACTCAACATTAACAAACGTTGATTTGAGCAATGAATGGAAGTGTTATTTTCACTGAATATGGTACGATTATGTGTGTGTGGGAGTATGTGAATGTATGAATAAGATGGCAACCAGGATAGGGGTTTCTCTGGGAAGGTTGTATAACTGTAACCTAGTAACACGCGGCAGGGCGTCTTAAATGGTTCTCTGTTAGTAAAGAACAGATTGGCCTTTGGCAAACCACCAGACACATCCAGAAATCCTGGCAATTTGGGAAAGTAGCCTTTGTTTTTATTGTGAGGGGGCTGATTTTGTGATATTTGCCTCCAAAGCACATTCGTATTCTGGTCCCAAAACAAATAAACTGCTGTAATTAACACCACATGTAAAAATGCTTTATTTGCTGTGGCTGAGTCCATCAGTGTTTGCATGCCTCAGATCTAACCAGTCATTCCTATGGATCTTGAAGACTGAATGGTGGAAATTGTTTCATGTAGGAATCTTATGGCGGATGGCGTTTGATTGTATTTACTGTGTACAAAAACAAGCCAACGTGGTGCATATATCAGCTTTAAGCTAGTTGTTTCCCTTCCTTTAGAGCAAGTGTTCTTTGTTTTTTGCTGTGACACCAGTCAGACTGCCAATGATGATTAGTAAAGGAGGACAGGTAGTGTGTGAATAGTTCATTAGTTTAATCATCATTTCTTGGCTATCTAGGTGATGAGTTTCTAAAATGCTGTGTATAATTCCTCACTGATATTTTTATTCTGTTTTTGTGTATGCACACTTTGGCGTTTCTGTTTATAACCTGTTTTAATACCGGATCTAGTGTCCTGAGTAAATAAAAAGAGAGATATAAAAATTAAGCATCCTAAGTAAATAATAGAATCATAACCTGGCCTTTCACATATACAATACACTTAAATAGAGCTCGTTCTGACCCCATACCCTGTTTTCTTTTCCTTTTTTTTTTACAGGGTGGTACGCACAAAAATGTATAATTGTGTATATGTCTTTATGTGAATGTAGCAACATTAGCTGTTAGCCTTGATTCCTTTACACACGCTGCCAGTTCTGTTAGCTCTACGCCTGCACAAGAGAAAGACGTCCAATACCGTGAACACAGAACTTTTTGTTCCATCACACGAGTCACATGGTCTACAACTGGACCCTACTGCTTATAAAAAGATGAAAAACCAGAAGTAGTTGGAGAATGATAGTACAAAATATTCACATTCATGAGGAGACTGAGTATTTTTCATGAGACGCTGAGCACCTGAGCCGTGGCTGAAATATGGAATTACACCTGACGTGTTTACATCCGCCGCTCATGTGTTTACATCCTCAGCTGCCATGTTGTTTTCAGGAGTTATTGCATGACCAAACATTTTCACATGCAATTTTAGTTGCAATTCTTATTTAGTAGAAATACACAGGGTTTATGCAGGAATGAGTAACTCTGATTTAATGCTTTTAAATGCTCTTAGAAAAAAAGTTAAAGCCATCAACAAGTACCCATGAATCTCGGGTGTGTATATATATATATATATATATATATATATTTATATTAACACGGCAAAATCCTTTGTCATTTACCATCGACAGGCTGCAGCCCTATCCCGAATTCCTCGTTTTCCAGTCACTTTTTTTGAAATTTGCATTTTAACCATTCTCTTGCTTTTTCTCCACCTCGAGCTTCTTTTCCGAACATGCAGCTTTACAATCAACTAGAAGCAGCTCCGGGCAATATATCTGATATCTGACAAAATTGTTTTTATAAACTTTTTATTTTTAAAATAAAGCATGCCATGATAATCACATTTAATGATTTTTAATGCAAATTAAGGCCTTAATTTAAAAAAACTATAATTCAATGACTTTTAATGATTTTCAATGACCCTCGTGACATTTGCCCTTTTGAAATGGGCAGAATATTTACAGTTTTGGACACATTTGTAATGTGTGTAACAATATAAATGTGGATTCTGTCTGCTCATGTTCATTTTCCTCCCTCCTTCAGGTCTCTTTCCCTTCATTGGTCTCAGCTGTTCCTCATTCTCACCTGACTGACATGCTTCTCCCTTTTTCCACTCTCACTGCTGGACTCTTCCATTGGCTTCATGTTCCTTGTTCATGTTTCTCCATTGGCTGCCGAGTTCTTCGTTTAGCCTCCATGTTTTTCCTCTTCATCCTCCATGTTCTGTAGCTTTTTGTTTTCTGTAAGTTTTTCTTCTTTTATCATAAATATTCTTTAACTCATTGCAATCGTGTCCTGAAAGCAACAGTCAAATCCTGACATGTGCCACATTTTAAAAGGAGTTTTTTTTTTTAAGGTGGTTCAACTTTAATAAACTTAAATAATAGTTTATGATTTTTAACTCAAAAGTGTTCATACCACCAACTTTTTTGTCATACTACAAAGCACAGAAGTCTGAGCATTTCATATAGAGTTTTTGCAATAAACAATGGAATTTTTTTTTTTTAACTGTTTAGAAAAAAGGGAAATTATGCATGACATTATTTTTCTTTAAAAATAACTAACGAAAAAAAGGTGCTGGGGATTTATATTTACATCCCTTCATTTTAAAACTACTGAAATAAAATCCAGGGTAAACCTTTACCTTTGGAAGTCACCTAATTACCAACTAGCTGATTTACATATGAAATCTCATCTCAGTATAAATTGCTCTTTGAAAACATCTCGTTTTTAAGAGAATAATGCAAACAAACAGCTTAATGGGATTAAAATGCAAAGCGATGTAGAGACCGCCATGTTGAGCCTGGTTCTGCCAGAGGTTTCTTCCCAACGGGGAGTTTTTCCTTTCCACTGTCACTTCATGCTTGCTCACCATGGACAGGTTCTCTCTATCTGTGTTAACCTACTGGACTTCCATCTTCCAGCTGTTTCCTGCCGAGGTCTGAGCGCCAAAGACAAAGTAATTGTATCAATAAATTTCTTCTAATCGTCTTTTCTCTTCTTGTGAGTTTTTCAGATTGAAATAAAAGTATTAAAATAAAAGAATGGCTGGAAAATCAAACGGCATAAAACTAATGCAGGAATAAATGAAAACTATTTCCATGAGGCAGTCTAAAGGAAAGGTTATGTTCTAATTTACATGACTGCAGTGGATGAAGAAGAAGCACTCCATGGATAATGCCGTTTAAAATGAGTCATATTAACTTATGAATTACTTGTACAACCTTCACATCTGTTCATGAATCTGGAGGACGAACGCAAACCCAGGAGGAGTAAAGGCTGGTTCAGGGTTGAGTGCAGTTTTTCTCATCGGCACACAGCTGAACGCTAAATCCCCACCCCTCAGCTGGACGCTGGATCATCTCAGTCTGCAGCTGCAGAACAGAAGCCAGCTGCTTTCATGTGACGCTCACACTGGGACGGCTCGGATTCTTAGTCCCGGAGCGATTTTAGTCTAACAGAGAGCAACCCTGCCTCCGTGATTACATCACTGCCTTTAGCCAAGTCAAGGACGCACAAAATCAATGCTCCTGATGCAAATGCACAGTGGGAACTCACTTAAAAGCTAATAACATTAAGCTCAGAGTGCTGCTAAGTCAGTCCACATTGTAATGTTATGTAAATCTGACCGGATGACAGCTTCATTTAAATTGGAGTGCGGAAGATTATGCACGATAGCGGCCCCATTTTGCTCCCTCATCTCTGGCTTCCCGGTAAATAATTCAGGCCGTCATTCTGCGCATTAGACGAAGACATTCCAGAAATTGCCAAAGCAGGCCCTGGAGACTCAACGGCAGAGTTTTATTTTTTTTTTCATGCAGAGGAAGAAATTGGAGGGTACATCATGTTGGCTGGAGGGTCCATCACTCATCAATTTGTTTGTAAACAGCAGATTTATGTGGAGCAAAGCAAGTCAGTGGCTCATCTGCTGGAGGCTCCCCTCTCTCTATTTCTGGATGATCAGATCATGTCCTCCAGTATGTTCAGGAAAAAAAAAAAAAATCACCAGGAAATTTTACAGATTCCAAGCCGAGAAAGAGGTCACCCTCCCCTGTTTGCAGGCCGGAGAAGAGGCAGAGAAAACTGTGATGTAACCGCAGAATTTAATGTGAGCAGCAGGTCAGCCATAGATAAACAGGCTGTTTTTAATCTCGTATTCCACCAGCCTATGGTATTCAGAGCCACGCGGGCCGTTCTCACGGTTCCCGATCGCTGCTTCTGTTTTGCCATCTGCAGGAGGAAACAAAATGCTGCGTGAGTCACTGCTGATTTGCAGCACACGAATAAAGATGACAAATGAAGAGGATTAAATCAAGCAGCTCCTTAAGAGGCATAAGTTGAAAACAGGGTATTTAAATTATTCCCACAACTCCATCTCGCTGATCTAAGCAGTACACATACTTTATCGCAGAGTGCATTTCCTGATTGTGTCGGCCACTTCTCTCCTGGAGAAAAGAAATGACTTTTTGTGTTCTTATAATTAAAGCACTTTCTCAGACGGGTTCATTCAGATTTGAAGAGCTGATGTGGAAAAACAAAGCAATGGATCCGAGCTGAGAAAGCGTGCAGCTATTGGGGCCCGCCGAGGGGCTTTGAAAGTGACTCTTAAAAGGAGTAAAGCATTTTTATTTTCTACTGTTTCAGAAAAAATAAAACCTTTGGTCTGCTTGGTCTCCTGCACCAGAGGTCACAAGCAGAATCCAAGGGAACATGAGGAGCAAAGGGAGATATTCTGCTCATTAACCGGCCCGATCCGAAGGACTGGGGGCCAAAAGGGCAAGTGTTAACAAGCAGCAGCGGAGGAAAGGGCCTGCTGGACATGGATCAGAAAAAAAAAAGATAAAAAAAACACAAAAAAACAGGCATACAATTTTTTAAGGATAATTAAAAAAAATGGTGGGTAAAAAAAACTAAAAAGAAACAAGGAGACAGAGAATGCTTTTGCAAAGCTTTTATTGAAGAGGAAAAGAAAGACAGGACTACATGATGGCCCCTGTACAGAATCAGGACAGATGCTTTGCTTTAACAACCGGCTGGAAAAATTCACTCTGATCAACATTTTAAACTCAGACCTGCTGGAGGCATGGTCCAAACTAGAGAGAAGCTTTATTCACTTTGGTTAAAAAAACAGGTAAACAACACAAAGTATTGGTGGCCGAGCTAGAAAGGAGATAAACAGCAACAGTCCAGTGATCTGATACTGCTCTGCTAAAGGCACTTTTACAGACGAAACAGAAAACATAGACCTCTGATCTTTTCACTTCTGGAATCATAGGTCTCATGTAAAACTGTAAACTATATGATGCTTCACAGAAATGGACTATATAAAACATGGGGACACTTTGTAAAAAAAAAAAAGCTCATACATGGCACCGACATACAGGAATGATTTAGTGCAGATCTAAAAGCAGAAGGTCGATAATCTTTATTTTACAGGGACGGTTCACAAACTCTAAAGTTATTTTAAAAAGCCATATAACAAAAATTATATAAAAGTGAAAAAATACAGTTTAAGCTTGGTTTAGCTATTTATATCAACTTTCACTATAATTATTTATAACCAAGATACATAAACCAAAATTTTTTAAATCATGTTTTTTACATAATTTAGCATATTTGATGTGGTAAAAAAAAAAGACTAAAGAAGTAGGTTAATTTATTTTTATGGGCTGCCTAACGTATTGGACAAGAGCTTTTGGGAACAGACTGAAAACTTGCACAAATATCAACAGTCAAAAGGCTAGCTTTAGCGTTAGCATCATTAGCACACTTCACAACTGATGGTTTACAGCTGAGCAGGCATGTTTTCCACCAAGTAGTAACACGGCTGTTGTTCCCCTAAAAGTCAACCGTTTCTTTTCACTGCGTACACATTTAATAAATGCTACTATATTTAAATTATTTCAAGCTGCTACCATCAGCTAAACTAGCTATAGCTGCCTTGCTAACTGTTAGCCTTCGATGAGCAAGAGCAGATCTCTACCATTGTACAACCAAAATGATAAATATCAACCTTTGATAACTTTACATAACATTTAGAAAACAGTTGAACTATCCCATTAATCTTTAATAGTTTTTTTTTGTGTGTAAACACAATGGCTAATCGTTTTAAAACACTTGCTAGCTAACTTTTGCTTCAACACAATAGTGCTTACAATCAAAACCTAGAAATAAACAAGCACTGGTCCTAATTATTTTTAATGGGTTGTCTGAAGGAAAAATGTCTGTTAACCAAGAGAAGAACATTTTATTCAGAGTAGCTGAGGTGTAATTTAAAATAAAGCACAATCTGTCTGAATGTTGCCCTATTTGTCCAAGTTCTACAGTCTGTTTGGTTTGGAATGCGACATAGAAATTGGCCACAAAAAAAAAAAAAAAAAAAAACCCAACTGGCTCCAAATATTGATGGGAAAATCCTGGAGGATTAGGGAGTTCAGGTTTTCTAACCTTTTGGAGGAGCAGTTATCGCTTACTTCCTGCTCAAGGCGCTTTATTCTATCTGTCAGCCTGCCACCTTCTCACCCTGAATATCACACGTCAGTTCCAGAGTTTGGGCTATTTTTAGGAAAAAGTGTCAACAATTATCAATGTAGCACTTAGAGTTACCAGAAAAAAAGTATTATTAGCATATATGTTTACAAAGTGTTCCCATGGTAACGATATAGCCCCAGTCTAATCACATCCTGGTCTGCAGACTGCAGACAGGTTTTCTTTTCATTTCTTTATAGCATCATTTGTCACTAGAACACATAAGTAAAATAAACAATAGGAAGAGAAAATACTATAATTAAAGTCTTTGTCCATAATTAAATCAGAAATAGAGTTTTACTGGTCTTTATTTTACACTATGCTGACAGCTTAAAGGTACCCTGGGAGGTTTCTTAACCAGCCACTAAACGGGATCGTTTATCGGTGGATCCGATCCTCCACATTTAACATGTTTCACCTTTTTTTGTGTGGACTGAGCTCTTCCTCTGCGAGCCATGTCCCAGAAAACAACTATCAGCTAACGTTTCTAACTTCACACGGTACCTTATAGCCCTGTCATAAATACTTATGAGTCTAATTGAAGCAATCAGACAGAAGAGAAAGACGAAACAAACTGTTTTGTTTGGCAGATTACATAACGATAGCGGAAAAATACTTTTCAGGCAATCTGTCTTGGTCCCTTGTTCTCCCATTAACTTCAAACTAACACTAAACATAGAAGCTGAGTGTAAATACTGGCATACAGCACAGCGATACAACGAGTACCTCAAAGTACATCAGAGCGTGGATCTAAGGGTTGCTATAGGGACACTTTAATTCTGATATGTACAAGTAAAATATTTTCCTTATTCATCATTTCATTTTTCTAAAGTGTCAATGCACTTAAGGCTGAAAATTGCATAGGAGCGTAGTCATTGCATGCATCAATCTGAAGAGCGGATAGATAATAAAATTGTTTGGTCCAATTAAAGTTAATCTACCGAATGCGGCAGAAACTGCATCATAAAGGCACCAAAAAGTCGAATGTTGGGGAGTTTTGTTCCTCACACTCAGAGCTGATTGTATGTACTGTTTGTGGTCCTGATTCAGCATAAAGTAAAAAAACATTTAGTAAACATGTACATCAAATGAGGAAACGCTGAGGTTTGAAGTCAGGTCTTTGGTGTCCGTTCGCCGTGTTCTGTTCGGCACGGCGTCATTTCATCCTTTTTTGAATGAGTAGGAACAAATAAAAAGCATAAATCTGAGCCAGACAAATAGAAATATCTATGACCTCACAGGCGGGCTGGGTAGATGTGCCAACAAGGCTGTATACTGGTGAGGCACACTGGTTTTCAAAGAGGGAAGACTGGAGGAGAAACATTTGGGCTGATAAATAATCATTCATGCAGCCTGAGGCCCAGCAATAGAGGGTGACTTATAATATAAATGTGGGATTATTTTGATTAGTGGCAGGGAATATAAAAAGTAATGTAATTAGAGGTTTTAAAGCAGAGTTTAATAACAAAATGCTTCCCTGCAGTGATTGTACCGCGTCAGTGCTACACGTGATTTCGTTTCTCATAATTTTTAGGTGATTATAAATATAGGAGGATATACGGCGTGGATGCTGGAGGGAGTGGGCTTTGGTGGATGGGAATGCAGGCATGAAAGAAAGAAGGAAGGAAAGAGTGCTGGCTGGGTAATCACAGTGGAGCTGAACGGGAGGCTGGCCGCTCAGAGGTCAGTGGTGGCCTTGGCGGTGAGCGCCTGGATGCGGCTGGTGTTACAGTTTTTGCAGAGGACGTGTCCATCCAGAGGGTAGCAGCCCTGGTTGTCCCCCTCAGAAAGCAGAGAGCCACAGTCCTGCAGGAGACATGCTCAGAGTTAATCAGACGACTCAAAGGAGGAGTCCCTTTCAAGTCTTCTTCAAAACATTGCAGCTACATTTTGTGTGATGCAAACAGAGTTGAAATGTTTTCCCAAGTTAAAGATTAAAGAAAATTTCCCTTAAAAGTGCAGAGCTTTGCAAAGGTAAATGGATACTAATGTATCACAGCGTTATGTAATGCCAGAGAGCAACACAAAGTAATGTTTGGGTTAACATAACTATCAAAAATGTGTGCATTAGGTTCGTTTATTTGTGAATTTAAGTCAACAAACATGGATTTAAGGTTTGTATTTGTTCCCTGTTAACTCAGACATACATATGACCTCAGACATGTCATCTCTGAGAAGTTTATGTTTTCCAATTCAAGTTAGAACAACCTTAAGACAATGCAAGTATACATTTTACATTTACAAGAACAAAGGAGGAGCACAGCAGCTTCCTCAGAGGTCATAGATTTGAACTCAGTATTTTGTTATTTACGCTAGAATATATGTGATCTGTACTTGCATTGTAATAAAGTTGTAACTTAATTTCAAAACTTCAGATCGTGTATTCTTACAGATGAAATATCTGATGTTACACGTATTTATGAGTTGTCAAGGAACAAATAAATACCTTTACATTTTAAATATCCATTGACTTAGATTTACAAATGTAAAAAACTTTAACAAGTATTTTATTGACAGTTATCCCAGCTCTTACTGCTACAATATAAACTATTTTAGGATAACAGAGCGTGGAGTGTATGGAGGACTGACTCTGCCATATATAAAAATAAATACAGAAATAAATAAATGCTCAATAAATAAATTAGCATACAATACAAAACAAGCAGAAATGTAAGAATGTAAACAGCGGCGAAGAAATAACTAGGGTAAAAAAATACAAACGAAGAATAAAACAGACAAAAATATTATAACATGAACATAAATAAATACTTAAAAATATAAGTAATAAAAAAATAAAGGACAAAAAAATAAATAAGGTAAATATTACAAAGGCAAATAAATAAAGAAGTTAATTAAAAGAGTCACTGTATAATTTAATTTCTATTTGCATTTATTTGTTTATTGTATTTTTGGTGGCAATTAATTGTATGCTTATTTATTTATTGAGCATTTATTTATTTCTGTATTTATTTTTGTATATGGTAGAGTCAGTCCTCCATAGGAGCGACATATCCTAAATGATTGGAAAGGTAGATCTACTCTTTATTACCTCCAAAGGAGGCTTGAATACAACCAGACTTTTTAAATTTGCATCTCTTCATCACATTTCACCTTTCTTTGTTTTTATCTCATATATCTCAATAACACACATTGACTCTTGTGGTTTAAACTGAGAACAACAAAAAAAGACGTGTGAATGTTTTTGTCAGAGCTTTTAATAGACTAGCTATGTGAAGCAGCTAACCTAATTTAGAGACTATGTACAGATGGGGATGACGTAGACTTCCATACGCCTTGTCCTTCACAGTTAATTAGGATGATGTGGAGTCCCTATGAATATGTTCGCTTGTCGTCGTCTGTAATTTTGCCCAAAGCCTCACAGAGTCTCCAGCTGATCGTCGCTATGATCACTGTTTGCTTTTTGAATCTTTAGGGTGCCTCATGATTTTCTTCAAGCTCTGATTTGTCGGCAGCTGTTGGGGAGCTCTGTTCCCTAACGATCATGCCAGGGAGAAAACTGGCCGTTAGTCGTCCAATTTCACTAAACAGCGGTACTGCGTTATGTTTTACAATTCAGAAGTATTTAAGACACTTTTTATTTTATTTATCAGTGGATCCCTGGAGCCACGTTTGATACCCGACTCCAAATATTTAATGCAAACTCCAGCCCACGACTTGGAAGCTTGTGGGAGGACAATGAGGATGTTTTCCCAGCATAGAGTTTAAAAGCAAAGAAAGTTAGGAATAAAAAATTTACTCTTTTGTTCTGGGATTTAGCAAATAAAAAAAAAAGATATATTTAAGCTAAGCCAGAATAAAATTGAATGAAAACATTTTTCTTCAAAAACCAACCTGAAAACTAAGTCCATACATTTTAACCAGGAGTAGTTATTATAGAAACTCCAGCATGGACTCACATTAATGTGTTTGTAAAAAAGTAAACATAGTAGACAGAGTGCACCAACTCATCAGTCAGTATTTTTGCAGCTTAGTTGTAGTTAGATGGATATATTAGCCTTTCTAGTTATTCGCTGTGCAGCACCTTGGCCTTTCCTGCTTTCTCTCAAACAGCATTGTGAGATATAAAAAAGTGCTCTCTGAAAAGGCCTGGCTGTTTTATTACAGCCTTGTGAATCACGTTTTATCCTTGTAAAGGTGCAGAGCAGCTACTTAGAACATGCTGCATTGAAGCGTTTCTGAGAACATCTGAGCAAGAGAATTCATAGAAAACTTTGACCTTTTCTAATAATGACTGTTTCTGTTACAGCGATTATGTTCCAACTCTATAAACATCCTGGGTCATATGATAACATCAGGACTGCTGCACAAAAAGCTTTTCCCCAGACCACTGCAGTTATGTTTTCACAAAGCCAATAATGTTTTAGATTGAAGGGAAACCTTAGCTTTACTTAGACAGCAGGATATGGAACAACTCAGTGATAATAACCTGCATGAAGGGATTCATGGTGCAACTGTGTTAACGTTGTAAAATTAAGTCACTGAGAAAAATGCTGTAAGAATTTTGTAATTGCTGATTTCTATGTCTTTCATTATTACGGCATGTTTTCCATGACCTCATGTTAACAAACAGTTTAGCCCTATAAATACCTTCATAGACCCGTGGATAAGCCATCAATCTAATTTGAACAGAATCACTTTTGTTGTATTCTACCAGGATTTTTGAGTAATCACACAGTTTCTTTTGTTTAGTTTCAGATTTTCAAATTTGACTTTGGCTATTCAGCGATCTGCAGTGCATTTGGATGTGTCAAAGACATACATCCAACTCTCACTGCAGAATCTGTTAGTTCAATCTCTAACGTTATGCTCTCTCTGCTTTTTCTCATAGTAGCTTCATCTGGTCTGTTCCTGTGT